ACCAGGAAGCAGCCAAGTTCGGCTCGTGGCTGAGGCTAAGGCCTTAAAGGCCACCGGCTCCCAACACACTTCAAGGCCTGGAGTTAGGATGTGTTATCATACTTCCCAAGTCCTCCGCTTCATAGAGGGTAGCAAAGCCCTGTTGCCTCATCTTGACCAGTTAATCCTTTTCCCTGGTACGTCCTCCTCTTGGTGATTTTGCTGTTCTTCTTCCCAGCCTCTTCTACTTATGTGACTCTTTGGATCCCAGAATTGGAAACTATGCTGCATTTTCTAACAAATGGGGTTTATTTTCCATAATAAACCTGAGATCCTTAAAGTTTATTGTGCCAACCTGGCCGACAAACGTGGGGTTAATTGAAGGATGGAGAGATAAATGGCTCGGTGAACCTCACCTTGCGAGTTCTTGGGTCTCTTGCTTTGTGATGGTCGGACCAGGGTACAGCTGTCTTAGCCAGTTCCCTGCTTCAGCTGGAAAGACTCACTTCCTGCAAGACATCCCTGAGGAGAAGCCACATGGATCTACCGTGATGCAGCCCTGGGTGCCAAAGCAGCTGTGTGGAGACCCCTGCCAGAGCTGAGATGCTTACATGTTCACTGATTCGGTTTTCCTCCTGCGGTTGGCATCATTGTGTGTGGATCGGTGTCGGACATATGGGTTACTGTTGGACTTGTGGGCTTGGGTTTGTACCCAGACTAACACAAAACCCAACCAAAATCACTACCATCAAGTCAATTCCCACTCCTAGCAACTCTACAGGACAGGGTAAAACTGCCCCTCTGGCTTTCCAAGCCTTTAAAATCTGTACAGGAGTAGACTCATAATTCTTCTTGGAAGTGACCAGGGTGTTTGAACTCCTTACCTTGTGGTGAGCAGCTCAGTGTATAACCCACTCTACCACAAGAGCATCCCAGAGAAGGTAAAATTGAGAAATACTGGATTGAGGAAAACAAGAAAAGATAGCTTTCCAAAGGTGAGATGGTTTTGAGACATCGTGGTGTTGTTACTGCTTCCTGTGCTCAGCGTTGCATAGCTGCTCTACAACTGTCTCTTGTCGCTGATGATGGTGATGGCTGAGCCACGGTCTAGTTTGGGGGTCTCATAGACTGATGGAGAGTTCCAAGCTTCCCAGAGCATGCTGGTGGCTGCCCTTCACCCCTGCACATTGCCCCTCTTGTGTGCCTGGTCTTATGTTCCCAAACATTCCCAAAGTATATTCTTTTATCCAGTGAAACCAAAGGAGAAAGATTTCGTCGAGATCAAGAGCCACTTTCACCGTCCTTTACATTGGGGCAGAATTAGGAGAAATCATAGTTTTGAGAGAGGGAGGAAATATAAAGCAACGGTGCCAGTGTGGTCATACAAGCTAGCATCCTCACTTTGTGGGTTCAGAAAGACATTGGGGGGTTTGTTGGCAAGGTTCAGTCTGGCACCTGCTTAGTCTAATGTGCCCTCACCTGGGAGCTTGTTGCCAGCTGTGGGTCTGGGACTCGTTTGCTAGTGAACCAAAAGGAACGAGTTGCCAGTCATTTTTGTTTTTGTGATGCAGATTCGATTCCCGTGGGATTGTAGAATCTAGAGCCAGAGGCACGGAATGCCCTTATTTCACATTTGAGGAACTTGCCTCCCAGGCAGTAAGATCTGGTCAAAGGCGGACAGTTGGCGAGTGATAGGGCATGAGCAGAACCTGTCTCAGGGTCCAGTCAGAACTCTCTGCCCAGGCCCATTTTGCCTCTTGATGAAAAGGTTCGATTTCTCAGGATAAATGAACGTTTAATTTGTGTATCTCAATGGGGATAAAACACATGCACACACACACACAATTGCCATCTAGCCTGCGCCTAACGCATGGTAGCCTGTAACGTTTTCAGTGACCGGTTTTGAGAAGCAGATCACCAGACCTTCCTTCCAAGGTACCTCTGGGAGGAATCAAACTCCCAGCCTTTCTTTTCACCACCGACTGCATTTCTGGTCTGTACCACCCAGCTGCAGCTCCGAGAGCTCCTTCCAATGTTTTTATTACCTGCCCTCAAAAGGCATCTTCGTCCCTACTCCTTTGCAAAGAGACTTGTTTCTCATACTAATTTAAACCACTTAATCTTTCTAAAGAAAGATTTATCTAAAGATAAATCTCAGTTTCCAGCCATATTTTCTGATGTTTTATTCGTGGTATTGGGGAAAGGCTTGAGTGTGTGTGTGTGTGTGTGTGTGTGTGTGTGTTTGGTTTTAAAGGAAGAGAAGTAATTGGAACTCTGCTTTTCTTTACAGACACTCTGGAAAATGGATCCAGTAAGGGTGACAGGTGAGCAGTGTGTATTTTTATGCCCTTTGTGCGGATGACACTGCTGCTCCCCCTGACGCTTTCTTCCTTGCTCTGCTTCTATCCAGTGCAGCCAAGAGAAAGGGGCCGAGCAAGGACGACACATACTGGAAGGAGCTCAACGCTGCCATGGCCCTGACAAATCTTGCCCAGGGAAAAGACAAGCTGCAGGGTACGGCCAGCTGCATCATCCAGAAGTCGTCCCACATAGCAGAAGTAAAGACGGTCAAAGTGCCGCTCCTGCAGCCCTTCTAGAGGACAGGGGCTCGTCAGAACCCAGGGATGTCCTTCTCGCCAGCCTCTTGTCCGACATCTGAATCCTGAGAGCCACAGCAAGGCTGGACAGACAGGCCACCTTTCTCAACCGGGTCACAAAAGCAGTTGTTTTCCCCTCCCACATGATCCATATTTTTAATTATCCTAAAAAAGTATATAGATCACTTAGTTGCTTCTAGAAAAGACATGTAACTTATAAAAAAAAAACCACCTTTTAATCAAAAATATTAACTTATTTTATGCTACTCAAACTATGCATCCAATGTCTGCTGCATTGCCATTACAGTAAGTGCCTTGCTTCCCAAACTAAGCTACAACGTGGGCATAGGGGAACAGCTGTGCCTCAAAATGACAGCGCCATTGTGCTCATTAGTCTGCGTGGACCGTTCCAGATGGACCTAAGCATCCCAGGACGGGAACCCTAATTACGGAAAGGCCTTGCAAATGTATTCAAGAATTCACATGTTGAAACTTGGAGATCTGTTCAGCCCAAAAGCTGTGTCTCTTTTATGAAATCCTGCAGTATTTAAACTGTTCAGTGTGCTTTTCAGAGTGACAGTGGGGTTTCTGATGCATGCTTCCTGCCTCCGTCTCTGATACGTCTCCAACATCCACATGGGAAAGTACCGTGTATTCCGGCGCTGTGTACATTTAGGAACGGATTCCTTCAAAGTAGAAAATAATCATTGAGCACGTTGTGATTGGAAACACTTTTGTTTGTTTGTTTCAAGCATTGCCAGCAAAGACTGCAGTGCCCTTTAGATTTCAATTGGGTTTTCTTGAGTTTGGCCAAAGTGGTGGTGTTGTTTAAACACTATTACATACACAACCAATAGTTTAGGTTTAAAGCAGAACTGTTGGTGGTAGATCTCAGTGATTTTTGCCGTAGAAACTTTCCCATAAGACGTAACTAAGAACTTGTCATTTGGTTCATTTCGAATGACAATTGCTGATAGACAGCTTACGTTGCAATGAGAACCAGACAATGAAAGAACTGTTATCTTTATGTGACTATAATGCGCGCACATAAAGCTGATTTTTAAAATTTAAAACACATGGAAAGCTGACGTTGGACTGCCTCTGGGTTTTGCCAAGGAAGACATTAAAGTAAAAAAAAAATTAAGTGAAATCATGCATAAAGAGAAAGAACATTTTGTTTCTAAACGAGACTGTCATGGAGTGAGAATAATCAATATCAGGAAGGAAGAACCATTTTCCCTCAAACAATAACATTCTAATCAGCTTGGGGAGGCTTGAACCTTGAATAAACAATGGAGATGCCAAATATGACAGCATATGTGCTACAGAAAACCGAAAAGGATTTGATTCTTTTACGGCGGGATTTTTCCCTCCCAGATAATATAATCTTTTTTGTAATTTTTTTAAAAAACTGGAAAGCGTTTTTGTTGGTGTATATGAAAGCCAATGGTGCGGCCATGTGGTAACAGTTTTCCTTATTTTGCAAAAATGTTTTTAAAGCCGAAGGCTGCTGCAGCGATGCGTGGACCACATCGGTCTGGGCGTCAATTGTGGGGCACTTTTTCATGGGACATAGCATTGGGGGATTGAGTTTATTGCGAGTCATGAAGATAATTTGATATAAAAATATTGTGTGCGTGAGCGTGTGTGTGTGTATATATTTACTTTGTTTTCCAAATTGCTGTCTGCAATCACAGTAAGAGCAAAATGCAAGATATGTACGTTATGACTGTATGATCAGAGGAAGTAGGAGTTCTTTTGCTTTAAACTCTGAAGTAGTTACAGATCCAGGAGACAAATCGTTGGCCTCTTAACCAGCCAATGGATAACACGAAAGCTAAGAACACGTACTTCACTCTTTTTCATACTACGATAAGTTATTCTGGCATTAAATATGTTAATAAATTGGTTTTTTTTATATATAATTTCATTCACATGATTGAGTCCTGGCTGTTCTGTAGCCGAGTTAGTCACGATTCCTTGGTGCCATCTTTCGAAAGGAAGAATCAACCAGCAGATCTGTTCCGTTGAAAACGATAAAAGCAAAGGCAATAAGGACAATGGCCACGTGGTTTTCTTGTTTTGTTTTTTTTCCAAATACCAAAACTTGGAGTTTGGCCCATCTAGCATGCCAAGAAGGTTTACAACTAGCACGTCCTTGGCAATATCTCCGATTGCAATTACCTTTAATTTATTTTTTCTCTTGCTGCTCTCACATTTTCTGGAAATAAAACAAACCCCGCCCCACCCCCACCCCGTGCAATCGTTTCTAAGAGTCTTAACAACGCGGAGCCAGCAGCTGAAAATCTAACTCCTAATTTATGTCATAGAAAAATGGAATGGCCCCTCTTCTTTGTTTCACCAGGTGTAAGCATTTTTAATAAAATTAATAACTGCCAGGAGTCCTTGACAGATTTAAAATAAAAGTTAATTTCTAGACCTGTGATCCTATGAGTGTTGTTTTCCTTTGAGTTGCCCGGGTGGAGAAAAAGTTAAACAGACTCATTTATTTGCTACAATTCTCGTTGGGTTGGGAAGCGATAAGATAAGGAGGAAAGATGGGGTGGGGGGGAGCACTGCGTTTCGACTAAGTTTGAATTTCATCACCTTAGACCACCAACCCACCTTGTAGGAGCTGGAGAAGAGAGAACATGATGCTGACTATTAAAATGCATTCCTGGAAGGTGACTCTCCATTCAATGCCCTCTTTCGCGTATTAGCCCAGTAAGCACCCTGGTTTGGTGCGATGTCCCGGAAAGAATCCCTGGGCTTTGAACAAACTGAGGCAGAGAGCCCTGCGTCCCAGCTCGGTGGCTCCCTGCTGTGTGATAGGTGCCGTCTTTAGACACTCTCTACTTCAGTCTCTTCATCTACAAAAGGGTCTTGTGACTTGTATCTCGTAGCATTTGCTATGATGTTTAGAGATAGCATTCGATATACAGAGTGCCCACCACTGTGCCCCACAGTTAGTAAGGGGCCCAATAAATGAAGGGCATTAACACATCATTAGAATTCTGCCCTAGGGGATTGAACGTAAGAAAGAAGAACTGTAAAGGGAACATGAGAAGTGGGAAAATTCACAATCACCCCAAACTCCAAGCTCACTGTCATCAAGTCACTGCCAACTCGTAGCGACTCCAGGATGGGGTGGAACTGACCCCGTGTGTGTCCGAGACGAACTCTTCCGGAGGAGAAAGCCTCATCTTTCTCCCGAAAATTCACAAGAGAGAGGAAGAGAGACAGAAAATCACCCAGCTGCTGTCAAGAGAGGTTCAGCGCACGGCACCAACATTATGCGCAGTAGGATCCTCAGTGGCGGATATTTCAGAAAGCATTAAGTGGAACTCTCTTCCAAGATGCCTCTAAGTAGATTTGAACTGCCTACCTTCCAGTTCCTAACTGAACGTGGAACAATCTGCACCAGAAAGGTGAGCAGCGTGCCTTGGAAAGTGAGATGCCTCACGTGAAAGGCTATAGGGAAACAGTGAAAGTCCGGATCAGGGTTAGAGGGAGATTGTTTTATTACCATCTCTCTGAGCTTCCTGGAGAAAAGCATAAAGGTAGAATAGACATGCCAATAAAAACCACAGCGTGCACAATAGTTTCCTTCATTCAGATACACCAAGAACTGCTTGCTCCTCTATTTATCCTGCTTGATATTATTCAAGATGACTAAGGACTCAAGCTGCCGTCTGTATTGTCTGCCGGCTCCAAAGAGCAATGTTTAACAAACAGTGGCAACGGCCGTGGTCCGCTTTTAAAAGCTTCCAGCTCCATGGCATAACATTGTGCAAATAAGCACTAAGAACAAGGATCCGCAGACCAGACTCTCCTCTGTCTGGGACGGCTTGGAAGACAGGGCCTGGTACCGGTCAGAACTGGGCTGGGACAGCCTGGTTTGGCCTAGTCCCGCCTCTGTGACTTGAGGAACATGCTTCGGCCTCTGTACCCAGTTATTTATGTCTGCTAAGTGACACCGAGAAAGACCTGCTGGGTGGACTTAAATAGTAGATACCAAAGTGCTTTTTGAGCCATGCTGTTGTAACTGGCCATCCATGTCCATGCTGGCTCAGGGCGCCCCCATGTGTGGAGAGCCCTGCTCTGTAGGGATTTCAAGGCTGTAACTTCTGAAGTAGATCACTAGGCCTTTTTCCAAAGCACCCCTGGGTGGCGTTGAACTGCCCACCTTTAAACTATTAGTGGAGCAATTAACCATTTGCATCACCCAGCATAGCACTACACAACCATTCATGGTTATCACTGTGTTCCAAATGGCCCCTTAATGCCCGTGTAAATTACTGTTTCCGTGAAGTATGTAAGACCCCTGGATTGTGTCGAATGCATATTTATGAGCCCTTGTAAGCATTCAGAGTCCCCTGGAACTGTAACACCATTATGAAAACTATCACGATTATAAGGAATCGGTTGGCTGTCATAAACCTTGGGATAGAATCCTAAATTCACCATTTACTAGTTTTGAGACCCTTCTTAGAGATGGATTAAAAATTTTGGATTGGGGGTATGTGTATCTGCTATAAGTATACTTTGAGATTTTTGAGTTTGAGGGGGAAAAAAAAGCCTCTGTGTTTTCATATCTTTACACAATGGCTCCATTTCCATACAGATAATCCTGTAAAGATTTTCTCAATAAGTCTTTTGAAGCAAACTTTACCCCACAGCTAGGTTCTGGAAATTTGACTACTATGAGTAAAATATGACTTATTTTCTTGACTGTAAGCACAAACAAAATTAATATGTTTTTAAAATTTTTAATGTAACTTCTGCCAATTATAGAAAAATTTAACCGGTATAGAAGATGTCACCAGGCCATTCTGTGCTCACCTCCCAGATACGATCACGAAAGACAAATGAGTACATAAGCAAATGTGAAGAAAGCTGATGGTGCCCAGCTATCAAAAGATATAGTGTCTGGAGTCTTAAAGTCTTGAAGACAAGCAGCCATCTAGTTGAGAAGCAACAAAGCCCACATGGAAGAAGCACACCAGCCTGTGTGATCACGAGGGGTCGAAGGGATGAGGTATCAGGCATCAAAGAACACAAAATCATATCGCTGTGATGAGGGGGAGTGTGGAGTGGGGACCCAAAACCCATCTGTAGGCAACTGGACATCCCTGTATGGAAGGGTCATGGGGAGGAGACAGCCAGTCAGGATGCAGTGTAGCAACGATGATACAACTTTCCTCTAGTTCCTAAATGCTTCCTGCTCCCCCACTATCATGATCCTAATTCTACCTTACAAATCTGGCTAGACCAGAGGATGTACACTGGTACAGATAAGAACTGAAAACAGGGAATCCAGGATGGATGATCCCTTCAGGACCAGTGGTGAGAGGCAATACCGGGAGGGTGGAGGGAGGGTCGGGGTAGAAAGGAGGAACCGATTACAAGGATCTACATATAACCTCCTCCCTGGGGGACAGACAACAGAAAAGTGGGTGAGGGGAGACATCAGACAGTATAGGATATGACAAAATAATAATTTATAAATTATCAAGGGTTCATGAGGGAGGGGAGAGTGGGGAGGGAGGGGGAGAAATGAGCTGATGCCAGGGAATTAACGTGGAGAGCAAATGTTTTGAGAATGACGAGGGTAACGAATGTACAAATGTGCTTTATACAATTGATGTATGTATGGATTGTGATAAGAGCTGTATGAGCCCCCAATAAAATGATTATATAAACTCACTTGGATCACAAAAAAAAGAAGATGTCACCAGGTAATAATAGCACAGGATGCTGACTCAAGTCCCCAAAACTCGAGGCCGGTTTCAAAGTGAGTAAAAAGCCAGTAGATTACATATGCATATTATATATGTATTTTGTTTACATTTTTCTATTTTATAATTTATACATCATGCATTATCAGGGGTCCTCAAGCTTTTTAAATAGGGGGCCAGTTCACTGTCCCTCAGACCCGTTGGAGGGCTGGACTATAGTTTTAAAAAAAACTAAGAACAAATTCCTTGCACACTGCACATATCTTATTTTGAAGTTAAAAAACAAACGGGGCAAAAACACCCAGCAGGCCGGATAAATGTCCTCGGTGGGGCACACGTGTGCCGCGGGCCATAGTTTGAGGACCCCTGATATAAATGTATCTAATATCTATATAATATATAATATGTAATATAAAATTATTATACGGCCTGTATATAATAATCTAAGATTCTTGCAGACCACATCCTGGGCAGGGTATAGGCAGGTGAGGCAGAGGATACGGGTCTGGGCTTGAGGCTAGCAGCAATTCCCCTAACTAGGACAACTGGAATTGAACTCACATAGATTTTGACATGGTTTTTGCACAATGACCAAACCACACAATATCCCATTTTGCAGAAAATACTGTAAAATGCCATATACTCTACATGTAGGCCATACCCTTAAAGAAATTCCTCGTACGGTGTATCGGTTGATCACATCAGTACATTTCATGGATATAACGACATCATTTTACAAAATACAGGTTCTCTACATCATTGCATGCCATTTGACATCATACCATAACTGCCGAGCCACTAAGAATTCTGGCCCAGCCGAGGAAGCCCATACTTTACCCATCACAGTCTGCCCTTGCCAACCTGGTGTCTGTACCCATCTCCTTAAATCATTCATGAGTAAAACTAAACAAGTCTTGTCACTAGGGCCCCGATTGATACATGTATGAGTTTATTCCAAACAAACTATGCTTAAACGTGTCTCTGAGATCATGAGTAGCCACAGACAAGTTCTCTCAATGTTACAATTGTCTTCGTCTCATGAGGGTGCTAAGTCTCATTAGGGTGCTTTACGGTTGACTCGTGGGGGTTCTTGTGGCCCACAGAGGTCAGCTCTGAAGGTATAATGGCTATTTGGTGGGACTCCAAAGGGTAATCTGGATAGATTTTTTGAAAGACACAGAGTGATCATGGAGGCTTATAATGAGGAAGTTTTAGGGAAAAATGAAAACTGAGTTGAGGAGAATTAGGTGAGGAGAGTAGCACCGAGTTTTCTTCGCATCACAGTGTCCCCATTCATTCTTTTCAAGGGCTGTCCTATGAGAATTCTTTGGAAAAGATTGTCCCATCCACCCCTACAGCTCAGATAATGCTCCATGAGACTCCTGTTCGTTCTCAAAACTCAAAGAATATTTAGAACAGACCCGCCCGCAGCTCCTCCAGGATGCCCTGACTGTCGTTTTGGTGCGGTGTTAACCGAAAAGCACAAAGCTCTTTGAGTAAGGTATAGAGAGGCAGACTCCCGGCTTCAGAGTGTGGAGAATTAGATGGAGATATGTTGACAAACAGTAGTTGCATATTTTGATATTTTTGTTTAGTAAAGTTTTCTGTTATTTGTAGTAATATTTTTTAAATGAATAACCCCCAATTAAACGTAATTATAAAGTCATGTCTGTATCTAACACAAAACATTGGCACACACAC